ATTTTTTTTTTTTTTTTTTTTTTTTTTTTTTATGGGTCTCCTTATGGATACTTTTATTCACATAAAATGGATTTACATGTTGGGCAAAAAATTTTGATGCATGCGAGGTAAATAAGCGACTGTCTCCTTTTTATTTATTTATTTATTTTTTTATTTATTTATTTATATATTTATTCAGGTGTCTCCTTTTATTTGTTTATTTATTTTGTTTATTAGTGTCTCTTGTCATCATATTTAACCTAAAGGAATTGATGATCCTATCATTTGCTGCTGTTGCTGCTGCTGCTGTTGCTGCTGCTGCTGTTGCTGCTGCTGCTGCTGCTGCAGGTGGTGACAATGTTACAGAAGCTGTTTGCTAGATTTGATAGAGACAGCACAAAATATAAACTTTATAAATTATGTACAATTGGTGATGCATATGTTGCTGTTAGTGAGCCCGTTACTGAGGATAATGAGGTATGTCTGTCTCCTTCCCCTGTCTCCTCCCCTGTCTCCTTCCTCTGTCTCCTCCTTTGTCTCCATCCCCTGTCTCCTCCCCTGTCTCCTTCCTCTGTCTCCTCCCTTGTCTCCATCCCCAGTCTCCTCCCCTGTCTCCATCCCCTGTCTCCTCCTCTGTCTCCTTCCCCTTTCTCCTCCCTTGCACCTGTTTCCTACCCCTGTCTGCTTCCCCTGTCTCCTTATCTGTCTCCTCCCCTTGTCTCCTGCCCCTGTCTCCTACCTCTGCCTCCTTTCCCGTCTCCTACCCCTGTCTCCTACCCCTGTCTCCTCCCCTGTCTCCTTTTGTCTGTCTCCTTTTTTTTTTTCTTATAGGACTATGACCCTGTAGAGGGTACAAGCTTAGTATTAACAATGGCACAATCAATGATTAGTAATATAAAAGATGTTAGGGAAAGATTAAATATACCTAGTCTTAATATGCGTATTGGTAAGAATTTCTTTTTTTTTGCCTCCTTTTTTGTCTCCTTTTTGTCTCCTTTTTGTCTCCTTTTTGTCTCCGTTGCTGTCTGTTTGCCTCTTTCTACGTCTTAATATGCATATGCTGTCTCTGTTATGTCTCCGTCCTCATTGCCAAGAAAAAAAAAAAAAAAAAAAAGGAGACACCTTATTATAAAAAGAAAATAAAAAGGAGACAGTTGTCTCTTTTTTTTCTTTTTTTTTTTTGTCTCTTAGGTCTGCACTACGGGACATGCGTAGGCGGGGTGATTGGCTCAGGACGTCTACGGTAAGATATATCCTGCTTGCTGCTGCTGCTGCTGCTGCTGCTGCTGCTGTTGCAGCTGCAGCAAACTGGAATTTCCTACCTTAAATACAATGCATGCACTGCTGCTACTGCTGCTGCTGCTGCTGCTGCTGCTGCTGCTGCTGCAGATATGACTTATGGGGTATGGATGTATTAACTGGTAATATGATGGAGAGTAATGGCGAACCAGGAAAAGTTAATGTTAGTGCAGTACTCAAAGATTTCCTTATTAAACATTTCCCAGGGTAAGTCCAGCCCCAAACGCATGCATGCATGCATGCATGCATGCATGCATGCATGCATGCATGTAACCCAGTTGTATGTATGCATTATTCGATGCATAAGACTTATAGCGTTTATTTTATTTTGTTTACTTTATTTTAATTTATTTTTATTTTGTTTATTTATATAATTATTAATTATTTTTTATTTTTTTTCTTTTTTTTTTTTCTTTTTTTTTTTTAGGAAATTTAAATTCCGATTTAATAAGACTGTCTGTGTCATCAACAAGACGGTTGATTCTTACATTATACACCCAGCGTGCGTCCCCCTAATTATTGCTGCTGCTGCTGCTCTTGCTGCTGCTGCTGCTGCTGCTGCTGCTGCTGCTGCTGGTGTGTTGTTTTAGTGTGGCGCCCGTGCATGCATCCATATATTAATGCATGCATGCATGCATGCATATATGCATATGGGTGTTTTGCTGCTGCAGCGGCGAAGTACCAGAAGATGAGGCAGCAGCAGCAGCACAAGGTGCATCAGGGTTGCCTACTTCTTCAGCCCCAAGGAGAGAGGAATCAAGGTATAAATAAATGCATGCATTTTTATTTGTTTGTTTGTTTTTTTTTTTAATTGTCTCCTTGCCATGTAGTGTACATACAAATGTACTTGCATGCATGCGCAAGCACTGCAGTCTGGCATGCTAATTTGCATGCATGCATGCGAACATCCATGCATGCAACCCTCCATGCATGCATCCTTGTATGCATGCATCCTTACATGCATGCAGCTTTGCATGCATGCAGTCTTGCATGCAGTGTCTGCCTGTCTGTGTGTGTGTGTGTATATATCTTAGCAAGCCCCATGAGTATCGTTCGGGTGTCTCCCGTCGTGGTTCGCTAATTGGCTTCCATCGTTCTTTAGGGCGTCGCTGCAGTGTACGTACACCCCAAGAGGGCAGCGGATTAGCAGAGTCTCCTCGTGCATCTTCATCTACAGCAGCAGCAGCTGCTGCTGCTGCTGCTGCTGCAGCTGCATCCGTATCAGCTAACTTTAGTAGACCTACCTCTCGTGCTAGTAGTAGGAGGAGTCTCCTTATACCACCAGAGGAGACAGCTGCTATACAAAGCAATAAGAGACAATTACTACCCAATGAATCCCTTACACAAGGTAACCCTCCCCCTCCTTATCCTCCTCTTGCTGCTGCTGTTGCTGCTGCTGCTGTCTTTATTCTCGTTAATTTCTTCTCTTATCTGTCTCTTATTTTTAGTGTCCGTCTCCTTTACTCTCCCTCTCTCTTTTTGCCTCTTTTGTCTCTCTTTTTTAGTGTCTGTCTCCTTTAGTCCCCTCCTCTCCGTCTGTCTCTTTTGTCTCCTCCAATTGGTTGATGTATCTCCCTGTCTCCATCTGTCTCTCTTTCTCTGTGTGTCTCTTTTTATTTCTGTCTATTTATTTATTTATTTATTTATTATTTGTTTTTTTCTTCTTTTTGCTATGTTCTTTAGGGCCTGATGTTCCTCCTCTAAGAAAGACAGGCAGTACTACGCAAAATGTACCCCCTCTAGCCATGCGTCCTATCTCTGTACGTTATTTAGGGTTTAGGGTTTAGGGTTTAGGGTTTAGGGTTTAGGGTTTAGGGTTCTGTTTACTTGCTTCGAGGGTTTAGGGTTTATATTTTTATTCCTTCTTCTAGGGGTGTCTAGGTGTGTCTTTTCATCAAGTGGTTAGGGTTTAGGGTTTACGTCCCCTTACATCAATCCTTGTAAACCCTAAACCCTAAACCCTAAACCCTTGTTGTGGTGTGTTGAGGTGTATACGCTATTTTTGTGGCGCATGCGTTCTTAATTGTTGTTATTTCTATTTGTTTATTATTTATTTATTTATTTATTTATTATTAATTAATTTATTATTATTTATCTGCTTGTTGCTTAGGAGGAGAGAGCGGGACCTTCGCCCTGTCTACAGACGAGGAAGGAGAGCTCCCCTGATCCTGCATAAAGGAGACAGGAGGAGACAGACAGTGTGCAGCAGTATGCTGCTGCCTATTGCTTGCAGATGTGTTATTAAGTGTCTCTTTATTGTATACAATGCCTTGTCTTGAGCTGTAGGGACTGTCTCCTTACTGTCTCCTCCTTGGTAACAAGGGGATATAGTCATAGGAGGAGGCGGCCCCTACCCTCTTACAACACAGAAGGAGACAGTCTCCCCAGTATAGGAGGAGACAGTCTCTGCTACATAGAAGGAGACAGTCTCCGTCTTATACATGGAGACAGTCTCCACAACACAGAAGGAGACATTCTCCACACAACAGGGAAGGAGACAGTCTTCCTTATACAGGAGGAGACAGTCTCCCCACAACACTGGAGGAGACAGTCTCCTTAGTCTTAGGAGACAGTCTCCCCACAATACAGGAGGAGACAGTCTCCTTAGTTAGAGGGCAGTCTCCTTAGTGTTAGGAGACAGTCTCCTTATTCTTAGGAGACAGTCTCCATACTTAGTGTTAGGAGACAGTCTCCTTAATCTCAGGAGACAGTCTCCTTACTTAGTGTTAGAGGAGACAGTCCCCCCCTATACTACGGAAGGAGACTGTCTCCTTAGTGTTACTCCCGCGTCTTGTTGTTTATTTGCTGTCTCTTGTGACAGCAGAGACTCTCATAAACCCTAAAGACACTTGGCGTCTCTAAAGTCGTAAACCCTAAACCCTAATAAACCCTTACACTACGACCTAAACCCTAAACCTTTGTTTAGTACTAAACCCTAATTAAATGCATTTCTTAGCTATACAACTAAACCCTAAACCCTACAGAGCCAAGTTACGAGGACCTTGCGCGGACATGCCACGGTGCTAAAGGGACTCCTAATTTTAGGGTTTAGGGTTTAGGGTTTTTCCCGGTTACAAATTAAGTCGCAGGCGCATGCAGCCCCGCATGAATGCATGCAGGTTTAAAAAGCCCCAAAGGAGCAAAGGGGAATGAGGGTTTACCTGCTCCTCTCCTTGCCCCTCTTATCACCAAACCCCCCTAAACCCTAAACCCTAGAGGAAGGGTTTAACAAAAGCTAGCCCACTGCGTCACTGTTCCTAAGAACACAAACCCTAAACCCTAAACCCTGAGGTCCATCATCTAGCCAAGAGGTAGATGAAGGACCTTAACCTTTAGGGTTTAGGGTTTAGGGTTTGTGTTAAGAGCTGCTGCTGCTGCTAACACATCAGTGTCTCTTCCTGGTGCCCCCAGCAGCAACCAACCATCAGAGGAGACAAAACAAGGAAACCCTAATGCTGCTGCTGCAGCAATCAGTTGCTCATGAGGGCCCTCACTGCTCCTGCTAGAGCCTACCCCATGGTGCTGCTGGTGCTGCTGCTGCTGCGGTTGCTGCTGCTGTTGCTGCTGCTGCTGCGTAAAAGGTCCCTCGCGTGTCTCCTTCCCTTCAAGAGGGAGGGGAGGAGGCACTTTTGTCTCATCAGGGGGCCCCTTAGTGGGCCCCCCTAGATGGAGCAGAACATCGGTGTGGCTAAGGAGAGCGAGCAGCTGCTGCTGCAGCTGCTGTCTTGCTGCTGTTGCTGCCTCCAGCAATTTGTGCTTATGTTTGTCTCTTAGGATTACTCCTCCTGCAGCAAATAAAAAAAGACAAAGAAGGGACTAAAGAAAAATAAATATACTGTCTCCTTTTATTGCACCTCTATTTGTCTCCTTTTTTTTGTCTCCTTATTTGTCTCCTCTTACCTAGCAGCATCCTTAACTGTAATTGGGGACTAAGCCTTCGTTGCCTCTCCGCCACAACCCTCATCTTGAAGCTCGGTTGCTGCTGCTCCTCCTCCTCTTCTTGCTGCTGCTGCTGCTGTTCATGCTGCTGCTGCTGCTGCTGCTGCTGCTGCTCATGCTCCGCATGCTCTATGGCCGTCTCTGTTTCCCTGCGACAACCGGAAGCAAATCGCTCTTAAGCATTAGGTGGGCTTTGTCTCTGTAGCTGCTGCTGCTGCCGCCGCTGCAGCAGCAGCTGCTGCTGCTGCTGCTGGCTGTCACTAAGTACTAGAGTGAACTGCAAAACCCTTACCTTATATCCTTAGGAGGCCCCTGGGGGGCCCCCTCCCCAAGCCGCAGCAGCAGAGTTGCTGCCTCGCAGCACTGCAGCAGAGACAGCCCAACAGTAGCCCGCTCAAGTGTATCTCCATCAAGACGGGCTGCTGGTACCTGCTGCTGCTGCTGCTGCTCCTGTTGAAGCTGCTGCAGCCGCTGCAGCAGCTGCAAGTGGCGTGAAGGGGCACTGTTTTTATCGTGGTGCTCTGCTGCTGTGTCTCCTATTTGCAGCAAGGCTACTCTTGGGTGCAGCAAGTGTCTCCTTTCTGCTGCAGTTTGTTGAGGTGTATATTTGTCTCCTTTTTTGTCTCCTTTAAGTCTTGCAAAACAAACAGATTGTAAGTCTGCTGCGTCGGGGCCCCACAGGGCCCCCAGCAGCCGCTGTAGCAACCCCACATTATTGGCACATAGCCACAAGCCTGGGGCCCCCCAGGAGGGGCTCAGCAGCGGCGAGCCGCATCCTAGGGCCCCCGCTGCAGCCGCAGCAGGTACTGCTGCTACATCTGTTGCTGCTGCTGCTGCCTTGTCTGCTGCATGCAACAAATCCTCTGCTGCAGCGTCTGCTGCTGGTGATAAAGCTGCTGCTGCAGTAAAACAGCCAAATAAGCTTACACTGCCTCTTGAGGCACAGAACGCTAAATGGGGGGCCCCTCCTACAGAGGGCCCCTCAGCGAGTACACCCCAATCTGCCCCGCTGCTGCTGCTGCTGGTGCTGCTGCTGCTGCGAGGGGGGCCAATTGGTCTCTGCTGTAGGGGAGGGAGAGGAGACACCGCCAGGTGCGCATGATTGCCTGCTGTTTGCTCCTGCTGCTGCTGCTGCTGCGAAGGAGACACTATGCGGGCCCCAGCTGCCTTCAAAAGAGACACCACTGTCGCCTCGTATGCTATGGGGCCCCTCAGGAGACCTGTGTACAGCAGCAGCAACAGCAGCAGCAACAGGAGCAAGAACAGTGGCAGCAGCAACAAACGGATAGCAGCGTCTTCCTATACATCAGGAGCTGCAGCAGGTGCAACGGCAGCAGCAGAGGGTCTAGAGTGTGTCTATGTGTGTCTCCTCTTTTGCACATGGGTTGTCTACACCAACAGGGTGCATACGCATGCATGCATGCAGCTGCTGCTGCAGTTGCTGCTGTTGCTGCTTACTGGGTGTTTGGTCCCAAGTTTGGGGACACCTTATAAGAGTGCTAAGAGACACAGAGACACCGGAAAGAGGCCCAGTTGCTGCAGCCTTCCCTGCCTCCCTGGCTGTTGCTTCTGTTGCTTCTGCTGCTTCTGCTGCTGCTGTTGCTTCTGCTGCTGCTGCGGCGGCGGCTGTTGACGAAGCAGGGGCTGCAGCAACTCCTGGTGCCAAATATTGAGCTCCTCTAGTAGCTATAGAACCTGATGCTGCTCCTGCTGCTGCTCCTGCTGCTGCAGGTGCTGGAGGATGGGCTTTGATGAAGCCGCAGGGGAAACTGCCTCTGCTGACGCTTCTACTGCTCCTGCTGCTCCTGCTGCTGCTGTATATGCAGGAGTTTCTTTGCGAAGGCTGCAAGGTGCTGCAGCCCGGCAGGAGGGGCCCCTGGATGGCATAGGCTTGTGAGGCCCCCAGAGACAACACAAACACCAAGAGGTACAGTGCGGTGTACAGGGGCCCCCCAGGCAATGCAACCCTTCCTTGATGCCATATGAATAGGGGTCCTCTGGGGCCCCTATGGGAACCCCACACAGAGGCGTTGCTGCCCATAGAGAGGATGGGACCCCCAAGCTGTCTGCCAGGGAACCCTGAGGCCCATATCTGCTGTGGTGTGATGACCCAGCAGCAGCCGACAGGGTGGCCCCCCTTTTGTAGGAGGAGGCGACTTGGGCTTACCCCTAAGGTAAATAAAAAGGAATTAGGATTTACGCAGAAGAATCTCTAACAGCGTTGTTGCAGCAAACAGAGTAGTGGGGTACAAGACCCACCCCGGGGGGGCCCCCTGGGTCTGAAGGGGGCCTCTCTCCTGGGTACGCCGCGAGCATGCGGTGCAAGAGGAAGAGGGGCCCCCACTAGACTTGTTTGTTTGCAAAAGATTTCTATTTTGTTCTTTAGTTACATGGGACTTGCCTGTAAGGAGAGAAGGGCTTTTGCCTTCCCCAGTTGCAGCTGCTCCAGCTGCCGCTGCAGTAGCGCCAGTTGCTGATGCTGCTGTAGTAGTAGCAGTAGTTGCAGCGTCATCTGCTGCTGCTACAGTCGTCTGTTGTAACATCGATATAGATGTATCCCTTCATGGCTCTCCTTGAACCCATCTGACCTGCAGCGGCAAATGCAGGGGCCCCCCAGCTCCCTTTTTACTCAGGGGCCTTCGGGGGCCCCCCAGAACCCCTCCTCTACTCCTACTCAGGGGGCCCCCTCCGCTCCTTCTTCCTCTCTCTTTAGTGCCTTCTCTGCAGCTGCTGCAGCACCAGCTCCTTCTTCTGGTGGTAGCATATTTGGCTTGAACCCTTCACCCCCTGCAGGGGCCCCCAGCTTGTTTGGTCGGAGCCCCACAGCTGCAGCAGCAGGTCAACAGCAGCCTGCTGCCACAAGCGGCACCAATCCCTTTAGCAGCAACGGTCCTAATGCAGGGACCAGCAGGAGCCTTTTCGGGGGTGCGGGCCCACAGGGCCTCCTCGGTTCTGCTGCTGCTGCTCCTGGCAGCAGCGGAACCGCAGGTGGAACAGCTCAAGCTGCTCCTGGTGCAGGTCTATTTGGGTCATCCCAGCCAACAGGGGGCTTTTTCGGTGCAGCTGGCAGCACGAGCAGCCAAGGCGCCGCCTCTAGTGGCGCTCCTGGCGCTTCTGCTGCTGCACCTGCAGCAGCGGGAGCAGCAAGCACAGGGCCAGCCCCTTCATCAGGAGCCCGTGGGGGCCCCCTTTTTGGTTCCATTGCCTCTGGGATGAATGCGGGCCCCATCTTTGCAGGCAAAGGCCCCTGTGCTGCTGCTGCTCAGCAGCAGCAGCAGACAGGGCCCCAAGCAGTTGCTGCTCCGCAGCCTCTCTTCGGAGCAACACCTCCGGCTGCTGTCCCTGCAGCACCTGCTGCAGCAGCAGGGATTCCTGCCGGCAGCAACGGGCCCGCTGGGTCTAGCCTGTTTGGGGGCCCCCAAATTGGGGGGGCCCCAAGTGGAGGTTCCCTCTTTGGAGGTGCTGTTGGGGGGGGGCCTGCCTCTAAGAAGACTCTCTTCGGCACTGTTAATGCAGGGGGCCCCGTTGGCTCTACCCCATTTGGGGGCCCTAAGGAGAACAGCAGCACCGTCCCCTTGTTCGGAAGCGCTGCACCTGCTGCAGCAGCAGGTGCTGCAGCACCTGCTGCTGCACCTGCTGCTGGCTCTGGCAGCAGCATCTTTGGCGGGAGTGTCCCTTCGGGGGGCACCACTGCTCCTGCTGCTGGCATGTTGTTTGGTGGGGTCCCCCTAAGCTCGGCAACCCCAGCCAAAGGTCTGTTTGGCGCAACACTACCAGCAACAGGAGCAGCAGCCACAGAAGGGGCAGCAGCAGCAAATCAATTAAAGGCAGACACACCAGCAGGACCTTCGGGGGGGCCCTCGGGCGCATCACAGGCCGCCGATCCAAGGGGCCCCGCGCAACACAGTGGAGGCTTATTCCGGAGCACTGTAGCAGCAGCATCAGCAGCAGCAGCAGCACCACAACCACCACCAGCTGCACCATCAGCAGCAGCAGCAGGACGAAACTCCGGCAGCGGCGGCCTGTTTTCTTCCCTTGATGTGCCCCTCCACCGCAGCAGCAGCAGCTGGGGAAACACTAAAGAGAGACCCTTCATCCCTCGCAGTTCTTCTGCTGCTGCTGCCACAGGAGGAGGAGACCCTCCCACCCCTACCGCCACCCCCACCAGTAGCAGCAGCAGCAGCAGTGGTGGTGGTGGTGGTGGCGGTGTGTTGGCAGTACATGGCCGCAACCGTCTGTATGTACCTGAGGGGAAGGCTGTGCCTCCTCCTCTACCTGTACCTGTGGGGCCCCAAGCAAACCCTATGCTGCATGCAAAGCTCCCTGAGACAGCACTTATGTTGAGGATACAAGTGGTGCAGCAGCTACAGCAGCTGCAGCAGGATGGAGGCGCAACCGGTGGGGCTGCTGCTCTTTTCCCTCCTGCTACAGGTGCAGCAGCTGCGGACAGTGCTGCTTCTGCGCCAGGAACAGCAGCAGCGGATGCTGCTGCTGCTGGAGGGGTGTTTGTCGGGCAGCTGTACGGCTGCTGCAGCACCGAAGAAATGTTAGACAAGCAGCAAGTCTCCACTGCCTCTGACTTCGAGCGTTTAGAGGCGACTGTCCCAGGAGACCCAGAAGCCCGCATCGTAAGCCAGACGAACAACTAGCCAATCCTTAAGCAGCTAGTTAGGTAGCTAGCTAGGTAGCTAGTTAGATCCGTAGTTACCCACCCGGCAAACAATTCACCAGTCGCGCCCTAACAAGCTACCTACTTTTATGTTAAGTGTGCTCGTTCGATAACTGCATAGCTACCTGGCTGGCTAACTGGGTAGCTAGCTGGCTAGCTAGCCGTAGGCAGGCGCCCAGCTAGAGAGCTCACCGCATCGGCTTTACTCTTGCTGTTTACCTGATGCTGTCTCTTCGTTGGCCATGAGTCGTGTAAGGCCTGCTCATCTGCTCCCGGTGCTCCTGCCCCTGCTGCTGTTCTGCTCTTGCTGCTGCTGCTGCTGCAGGTGAACGTACACCTGGCGTTTTCTTCGTTTCGGCGTAGCGACGCTGGGAAGCCCTTCAAGCAGTCAGACACTCGACCAGCAGTGTGGTGCCGCCGAGCTGTGCATGCGCTGCTGACTTACGTTGCGGATGCTGACCTGACCAATGGACCTCAGCAGCAGGATCAGCAGGAGCAGCAGCAGGAGATGGCGACGCTACCACGAAAGGAGTATCTGTTCCCTCGATCTCGTCCTTATACATACATTGATGTGTATAACTTTTTGAGAGACAGATTACGTGCCTGTTGGCAAGAACTAACAGTGCAGCATGTGTCTCCTCATCGTGCATCAATAGAGACACTTGAGGTCTCTTTTCGTTTTCTTGTTTTGTCTGAGGAGCTGCTAGCAGGGACACCTGGTTTTGATTCAGTCTCTAATCATGGTTTAATGCAAACATGTCTAGACAAACTTATGCAGGGATACGAGGCGGCCCGCGCCTTCCGCAGCAGACGCGAAGCGGCAGCAGCAGCAGCAGCAGCAGCAGCAGCTGTTGCTGCTGCTGCAGGAGGGGTGGAAGGCAGAGGAGGAGAGGAAGACCCTAAGGCATTACTTGATCTTCTTGTCTACAGCAGTCCGTATGAAGGGGAATTCTGGGGTTTCCGCCTTCTTATGCTGCTGTCACAGGATGCAAGTGACACGGCTGCGGTATCTCTGCTGCAGCGGCTGCCGCAGCAACTGCAGCAGGACCCTTCTGTGCGTTTTGCCTTAGCTGCCTACCGGGCATTTAAGACCCTTAACCTCCGTCGTTGTGTGGGCCTCATGAGGGAGGGGCCCTATTTATTATGCCTCCTCCTTCACAAATTCTTGCCCTTTGCTAGAGCACGCCTTGTTGCTGCTCTCGTCTTCAACCGCCTATCTGGAGGCGCAAGAAATCCTATCAGCCCTCAACGCCTTGCCCTTCTCCTTGGGTTCGATGCAGAAAGCAGTACGCTCCTCCTCCTACTTCTGCTGCTGCGGTTGCTGCTTGATTTTGCGCATGCTGCTGCGGATGTGCATGTGCATGTAGATGCGATTCTTGCTGCCCATGTGGATGCTGGTGTGGATGCTCGCATCCACACCAACGCAGCGGCTTCCGCATCCGCTACACCACTGGCGAATCCCGCTGCTACTGTACCGCTGTTTATCCTGTTGTTGTTACTTAAACTGCTACTGCTGTTGCTTCGATTGACGCTGGGGCTGCTGCGGGCCCTGTTCCCGCTGGCGCTGCTCTTGCTGCTCCTCCCAATGCTGCTCCTTCTGCTGCCCGCTTTGGAGGTCTGGAGTGTTTGTTGCATCCACGCTTGTGTGCTGTCTCTGCATACGGTTTCTACTGCTGTTGCCGCAGGCGAAATGTTTTCTGCCTTTCTTGCGGCTTACGGAATTCGCGTGGCGGTGTCTCCTCGAGGTGCCCCTATTTGTTTACTTGAGGAGGCAGATAAGAGTCTCCTTCAGGACTTGTCCTCCTATAAAAAAGCAAAGGGGCCTAGGGCCCCTTCTCCTTACCTTGCGCCGCCTAGCTACCTCTCCAGGCAGCAGCTGCTCGACCCAGACTATCCTGCTGCTGCGGCTGCTGCTGTGGCTGTGGCTGGTGCGCTTGAGACACAGGAGCAACGGCAGAAAAGAAGACCGTGCGCAGCGGAATTGAGCAGGGCCTTTTTTTTCAAGCAGCAGGAGGCCTTAAAGCAACGGCCTGATCACCAGCAGGAGCAGCAGCCCGATAAGCAGAGGAAACTTAAACGACTGCAGCAACTCAAACTGCGACAGCAGCAGCTGCAGCTGAGCCACGGGGAACTACGGGTTGGGCACAATGAACAGCAACAGCAGCAGCAACAGCAGCAGCAACAGCGGCAGCAACAGCACCAGCAACAGCAGCACCAGCAGCAGCAGCCGCCTTTGGCTTCTAACTTCGTAAATGTTACGACGACACCTGAGGCAGCGGGGGGTATTGCCTTTGGGTTGCCTCAAGGCATGCAGCGCATGCAACGGACAGACAGAGAAGCGCAGATGCAGCCCCAACAGCAGCAGCAACTTTTGCAGGGGCACCAACGCCCACTGACGCAACCAGAGCAGGGCCCGGCGCAGCAACAACAACAACAGCAACAACAACAACAACAACAACAACAACAACAACAACAACAACAACAACAACAACAGCAACAACAACAACAACAACAACAACAGCAACAACAACAACAACATCAACAACAACAACAACAACAGCAACAACAACAACAACAGCAACAGCTGCAGCAACAACAGCAACAACAGTGGCAGCAAGAGCAGCAGAAGCAGGTACCGTTCGCTTTCGTGTGGCCACCGCCTGCTCAGGGGAGAGAGGCAGGGGCGGAGCAGCAAACAGCGCGGGTATCTCCATATGTTAGCAATCAACCTACTGCTGCTGCTGCTGTTGACGCGTCAGCAGTAGTGACAAGGGATGTATTGCAGGCACCACCTAAACCAACTGCAGCAGCTGGCGCTACAACATCCCCAACCACACCGCCAGCAGTAGCGGCAGCAGCAGCGCCAACAGCAGCAACAGCAGCCATCGGGGGCAGTCCAATAATCCAGGCTTCTAGAGAACCGCCGGTTCCCAGTCAAACGGCACCTGCAGCAGCAGCAGCTCCTGCCCCTGCTGCTGCTTCTGGAAAAGGCGATGATGTGTCCCGAAGACAAGAGGGGCATGAGCTGGCTAGAGAGTGCAGAGGTATCCTGCATGCACCAGGAGCTGCTGCTGCAGCGGGTGCTGCGACGAGCAGCGCGAGTTCAGCAACTGCTGCTGCAACAGGGAGGCAGCAGCGCGATTTGCGTATGCCTGAAGTTAGTGCACCTAAAGGAGACACCAGCGCTGTTGCAGTAGAGTTCGAGGAGACATTCCCTGGCATTTTGGGGCTTCGCAAGTGGAGACAGAAGCCCAGTGACAGCGGTAAGAGTTTGCTGCAGCTGCTGCAGCAGCACCCTACACCTTGGCAGATTTGTGTACATTCGAGTGCTGCAGCGCGAACTGCAGATGATGCATGTACATTGTGCTTGCGCTGTGTTGCATTCGTGTTGCGTCTGGTGCAGCATCCCAGCCTGCTCCTGTAGCAACAGCAGCAGCTACTGCAGCAAAAGCAGCAGCAGCTGCTGCTACCGGCAACTTTATTGAAGCGATTGCCTCCGCAAGGCCGCCGCCCAGCAAAGGACACGAGGTCGTAGACGAAGCCGCAGTGGTGTGGCAGCAGCAGGAAGGACAACAACAGCAACAGCAGCAGCAGCAGAAAAGTGGCTCTGAGTTGAAGAAGCCTCCAGCGAGAGCCTCAGACGATCTGGCTGAGGCAACTCACAAGAATGCAGCAGCTGCTGCTGATGCTGATGCAGTAGCAGGGGCTCCTCTGACTGAGACCTTCAATGTGGGGGATACCCCACAGGGGGCCCTGTATGCATTGATATCACCCGAGGAAGAGTTGCTGGCGCTGCTGCAGCAGCAAACTGAGCTGCCACAGCAGCCACTATCGTCGATGCTTGCAACAGCCGTTGCTGCAGCTGCTGCTGCCATGCCGCCAGATGTTCTTCGTTCTCTCCTAGCTTCGGATCTGCTGCTCCCTCGCTGCACGCAACGGCAAGAACAGCAGCAGCAACAGCAGCTTTCCCCTCCCCGTGTTTTCTTCAAGGCTGTCTTTTTTTGCCGTCGCTCTTCAATTGTGGAGGCGCTGTTGTTGCGTGTTGTTGCAGCTGCTGCGTGGGGCACCAGCAGGAACAGTAAGGTAACTTCTACTCCTGTGTTGCTCCACAGCAGCATTGCAGCAGCAGGGGACAAAAGGGTGCCCTTAGAGGGACACTTGCTGCTGTGGCCGCAGCAGCGGCTCTCCATCCGAGGGGCCTCACAGCCGCTGCCGTTTTACTGTGCGCTGCATGCAATAACCGGCAAGGGAATAGACACAGCTGCAGCGGGGAGGGCATTAGAAGCAGCAGCAGCGGCTGCTGCTGGCACAGCACCACTTGCAACACCAATACAGGAGGAGGTTTGTAAGCTTGACGAAGAAGAAGCCCTTGGGGACGCAGCCATGCTGCTGCTGCCGTTGCCTTTCCTTGTGGCTTTGCCAGGCAAAGGAGCAGCAGCAGATGCGCCTGCTGACGAGCCTTGTGGCTTCTGCAACAACACCCTTCCCCCCACGGTGCAGATGACCGCCTTCCCATCGGACTGCAGCGCGAGCGGTCCAGCTGAAGCAACAGCAAAGCAACAGTGGGCTGCAGCCACAAAGGAGATAGCCTACGCCCTCAAGCTCCGCAACAAGAACCAGCAGCAGCAGCAGGCAGGCGCTGCTGTCGCGTGTGTTGTTTTTGCTCTATCCCTGCCGCAGCGGCTGTTCTGCGATATATCATCACAAGCGGCAACGGCGACTGTTCCACCGTGCGCTGCTGCAACACAACGCCAGCAGCAACAGCAGCAGCAGCGGTGTCCGCAGCAATTGGCTATCTCCGTTGACGACGAAGTGCGCAGTGCATGTGCAGCTGTGAAGGCTGAAGTCCTCCAGGCTGTCTCCTCGCAGTTCCCAGAGTAAGCAAACATCCCAGCAGTAAGAGCAGAAGCAGCAGAACCACAACACATGCAATGTAGTAGCAGCTTGCGAAAGAGCAGGAAAAGAACAACACCATAGAGTTTAAATGGTAAACTCAGGCAGCGGCCGATGCTGCTGCAGAAGCAGCAACGGCAGCAGTAGCAGACGTAGAATGGGTACGTTGGTACTGCTGCTCTTTTTGTATTCCCAGGCTTCAAGATGCAGCTGCATGCTTACGAGTTCGGTGTATTGCTGTTGTTCCATCTCCTGCCCGAGACAGCACCAACACCACCAGCAGCAGCAGCCGCAGAAGCAACAGCAGCAGCAGCAGCGGAAGATGCTGCTGTACAGACTGCGCGCTGCCGCTTTCGCGGGGTTTGCTGCAGTGTTTCTCCTTAGATCCTTGGGAAGGGCTGCAGCAGCCCAGCCAGCTAAGCGCGTTGCTGCGGCAGCGGCCGATGCTGCTGCAGCAGCAGCAACTTCTGTTGTCAGGCTGGGCGAGGATGTGGGAACGGGCGCTTGCTGCTGCCGCTGCTGCTGCTGCTGCACGCGCAAGGAAGGCACTTAGCGAGTGCCTGGAAGCAGAATTGCAACAGCAGCAGCAACGCTTGGGACACGAAGGTTGTCTTGAGCAGCTCGTTGCTGCTGCTGCTGCAGGTCCTCTTGCTCGGGTTGCTGCTAATGCTGCGGTGTCTGTAGAGGCATTTCGCACAGGAGCAGCAGCAGCAGCAGGGTTGCTGCACAGCTGCAGCGACAGCTTGTGGCAGTTGCCGCCTGTAGAGTGGCTGCTGGGCCTCATATGGAGGTTGCAGCACGCAAAGAAGCAGCAGATGCAGCAGGAGCAACAACCGCATGCCCTTACAGCTGCTGCACTTGCCGGATGTTTTCCCTCCGCAGATACTGAGACTCTCCACGAGTTGGTTAGGTTGTTGCGGCAGCAAGACGAGCAAGACATCTTGCGTTTGCTCCGCCGAGCGTACAGCAAGGCTTCGAGCTTGTCGCAGCTTGTCGAACTGGCTGCTGCTGCTGCTTCTGCTGCTGGTGGTGCTCGGATGGAGCAGATGGAGCAGCAGGAGGCGCAGGCTCATTCTCTGGAGCTCGTTTTTGCCGCCGCAGTGGAAGCAGCTCGGTGCAGCGCCGCAGCAGCAGCAGCGGCTGCTGCAGCAAAACGTGGACCACTGGTACTCCCCTACTCCACATGGAATGTGCTAGCTGCCCCTCCAGTGTATGTTTGGGGACCCCCAGTGCTGCCTCGCGTGCTTGCCACCGCCGCAACAATGCTGCAGGAGCAGCAGCAGGCAGAACAGAAGCATAAAGAGGAGAGGCGAATGGGGCTGCTAGAGGAGGGTGGAGGGTGTGTGGGGAAGCACCAGCAGCAATTGCAACAGCTTCAAGGCTGTCAACAACAGCAGTACGAACAGCAGCAGCAGCAGCAAGTACATCAACAGCAACAGGAGCAGCAGCAACAGCTGCAGAAACAGCGCAGGCAGCTTGCACCTATGGAGGAGCCCCGAAGGGTGCGGCGGCGATTGTGTGGGGAAGCATCCAAGTTGGTTGCGCAGTGCATGCAAGCAGCAGCAGAGGAGCAGCGGTGCATGCGCCTGTTGCTGGAACGGCTGCAGGTGTAGATACACCCTGTGTTTATCGTTAATTGGCTTTTAGTTGCAGCTGTCCCCCCAAACATATTTTCTCTCACTATATATATATATATATATATATATATA